TCTGAACAGACTGTATTGTGACGGCAGCCTTTGAGGACCTGTCCTGCCTTGGCCGAGAAAACCTGCCCATCCGGTCGGCCATAGTAATCCGTCATCACCGGATGCGGCTTCCAGTCTTCGGACGGGTCAGGATGAAACAGTGCCGCTTGCGGGGGACGATCCAGAAGCCTCTTCACGCGTCGTTCTTCCTTTGACACTTCACGCAAGTTAGCCCAAGAGTCGTCGGGCTCCTCCTCGCGAGCATCTCTCTTCTCCACTATCCTGTCGCAGATCATCCCGGGTCCGAGCAGTCGACCGAGCTTGCATTCTAGCACGAGGTTGTGCCTCTGATAGCTGACGGTTTTGTTTCCATGTGCTATAATCAAGACCCAATCGATCGTTTTCTGCGGAGAACCTTTCACACACCGCCCGGATTTTGCCGAATAGATCTTTCCATCCTCGCGCGAATAGAGGTGTGTGAAAGTGGGATGAGACTTCCACCCCTCGTCCTCTGGGGGTGCCTTCAGTTCCCTCCCTTCGAGTTTGCGCTTACCCAGCATTATGTACAGACTCGTAATATATCTATCGTGCATCGACCGCGTGCCCTATATAGCCGCAGGAACCTGCCTGTACCACTCGAGCCGCGCGCGTCCTCAGCCTAGTAAGCAAGACGAACGGTCTAGGATATCCTTTCTTGCATTTCCCCGCGTATCTCATGTATAACGTCAGGATGGGCAAGTAATCTACACATGAAAGACCAAGGGAAGCCACCAAGGCCCCGTGCATAGCATCATCACCACTATCACCCCTATGAGCAGACCCGTTCCCCACTTCTCGACTCTTTTGCCTCTCGCCGCAACGGTCGCTTTCGAGGACCTGCTCATGTCCCAACCCACGGCCGTCAACACGATTCCTGTGAGTACGAGCAAGGTCACTACTGCGATGGCAGCAAACTCCACCGTACGGTCCATGATATGTATATACTACTTTTGAACAGGAAATAAAATGTTTAACACCTGATATGTGTGTGCAATGAACGACTACACGCTTCTCATCCCTGGATTGGGTTCCACGGAGACGGCTATAGAATCGATCAGAGATATGCTACGGGAGAAGTGCACAGGAATGATCGAGGTCTTTGACTACGACTCGAGAGGTATGTGGGATCTCGGCGACGTTTTGCGTAATAGACTATTCACCAGCACAAAGACGGACAGGTTGACGAGGCTGCTGACCAAGCTCTCCGAAATCACGAGCCTGCCTTTGGACGTCCGCGTGCACATCATCGCACACTCACATGGGGCTCTCTTGCTACACAAGGCTCTCATGACGCTGTCAATCTCGGCTCGACACCAGCTTCAACTGCAAAACGTCATGGTGGACGCATACGGACCTGCGAAGCTGATCCCTGCCTCGTGCGAGCATTACGCGCTCCGGGGCGCGACCAATCATTTCCACGAGAAGGATTGGATTCTGAGGTTACATGGAAGGTTGCGGAGGACCGACGAATCCGAATTCGACCACAGGTCTTCCGATGGGACCGTCTTTCATATCAAGATGACTAAAGATCCGCGTTACGCTTCCGGCAGAGATGCACACCAATCCTACTACGACGAGAGCATCTGGGACGCCATGGGCTCTTGCAAGATCTGAGGGTGGGCAGAGCCCCAAAATAAAATCTTTCTATATAGCAAGAACGCATGTCTAACATCACGATCGCTCCGGGGAGTCGTGCATACGTAAAGGATAACGACTTATTCGGAACCGTGACGCGTACCAATCTCTTAGGCCTGTCAAACACTCCGGTTATTCAGCTGGACGATGGGAAGAGCCAAGCATACATCGGACCACTGAGGAAGAACGTGGTGGATGCCGAGAAGAAGGTAGATTTCGATGGACAGAGCGTTTCGGTGCCACTGGATGTGTTTGGCGTGGGCAGAGACCAACTGACCGCGTTCGGGGTCTCGGCGGAGAAGCAGAACCAGATGTTCCAGAAGTGGAGAACACTGCCTAAGAATCAGCAAGAGGCTTACACTCAAAGCTGGGACTCCCTGGACAAGAACGATTCTACCGCTCTGCAGGGGTTCCTTCAAGGGATGATAGATGCTCTCTCCTAATTCATCTAGCTCATCTTCGAGGCTACTACAGCTGCAGCTGCTCGCAGCACCTCCCGTGCACTCTGACGACCATCTATGCGGTACACCTCGTCGAAGTGAGCTTCCTCGCTGGAGAGGAAGTCGTGATACTTCGCCTCCAACTTCTTCAAATAGGCCAGAGTGAGCGGCGTCTCCGCCTCTCTCCCCCTCTTGCGTGCGCGTTCGAAGCAGACCTCAGCTGGAGTGTCCACCCATATGCAGATCTTGGGCACCTCCAGCTGCTGCGTGCTCCGGTCATATAGCTGCCTGAAAAGGGCCCATTCCTCAGGGTCCAGAGTTCCGTCCTCGTGCAGGAGCTCTCCAAAGACGAACCTGCACGAGGCGGGTGATCTCTCTATGAAGCTGAGTCCGGTGCGCTTGGGCATAGACATGAAGCTGCAGAGGACCTTAGTCTGTAGTGCAAAAGCCCATCTCCTTGGGTCTTCATAAAATCTACGCAAGATAGGTGCCCACTCATCCACGGGTTCCAGCTCGATAGGGCATTCGAAGAGTCGACCCAGACCGTCTATGAGAGAACTCTTGCCACTGCCTATCGAGCCTTCGACCGAGATATTCATTTTTGCGATCTCTGTTGTCCGAGTCGTGCCACACGCCCCTCTTCTTATATAGACGGCCGCTTTTTCGGACGCTGCTCCCGGGTCCGCGTCCACGACTGCGTATTCTTCGCTACCAGGCACGCGACTTTCCCGTCTTTACTTCCACGCGTGCCACTTGTCGAGACAAGTGTTGACAGTATCCACGAAAACATGGCCTCACATGGCCACGGTGCCACTTGTTCGACGATAATCTAATTCTCTCTTCTTATTGGATAGAAAGCAGCAAAAGCTGGAGACATGTGCACATGTGATTGGCTTCTACGTGACGAATGGACCACCGATTTGTGAGGAAAAGGCGGGAACGAGTGCGTGGGTGCTTGACTGGCGTTGACTTCGACGGTATCACGGATATCAACCATTAGCGGGAAATACTACGTCATAATATCCAAGTACAAGATTACCAGTACCAATATTAGTACGGCACCCATCGTTTTGTCATAGCTGCACTCGAAGTACATGTCAGCAACCGAAAAACCGCATGCTACCAGGCACGCTACTTTTCCCGTGTTTATTTCCATGTGTCCATTTGCCCATGTGTCCAGACGGTTGTCCGTACTCCCAGAAACTTATCTGGCTTACATGCATGCGTTCAGACGATATTCCGTACTCCCGAGAACTTATCTGAACTCACATGGCTTCGGTGCCACCTGCTCGACGGATAGTTCTTCTTATTGGACGACTGGACCCGATCGCGAGAAAAGAATGCGGGAACAGGCGCGTAGGATATGGAAATTTTACGTCATAATATCCAAGTACGGTGCCCATTGTTTCGTCATAGATTGCACCTGAAGTACATGTCAGCAACCCTAATTGATCCGTATATTATATCAGAAAAATATATTCGCTCGGCAGTGTCTAAAATTCTCTTTCGTATACCATAAGTCCGAGGTAGTGGTAACCGCCGCTGACGAGCAGGCTGAGTCACAACTGAGAATGATCATTCGCACTTTTTCACGTGCATATTTCGGTTTCGGGCGCGATAGCTACCCAAGGCGCGTTGCCTATAGTCTTTTCGGCTGCCCCTTCCGTTTCCACTTTGACGGTACCACATACCATATCGAGCAAGAGCTCAAACCTCACTGCTTCCTTCAGCATCGCTCACGCCTCCACGCCTCCTGAAAAGCGCTCACCTGGCTGACGGAGGAGCATGCCATTATGGCATCCGGCTTTTCGGCAGCAGACGATGCGGGGTGAGAATCCTGGCCGAGCTTTAGCGCACATTGGGCTGGGTTCCTTCTTTCTGTGCAATCCTAATCGCCGTGCATCTACTGTGTGCTAGACCTTTGCAAGAGAGGTCACCAAATCCAGACCTATGTAGGCAGCCTAGAATTGCATTCATTAGGGTGGTGGGTTTTAAGAATTGCATCCAGTAGGATGGTGGAGTCCGGAAGTCAGACTGATTCTTACGTTCAAAAAGTTTCACCTTGGGTTTTTCTCAAACAACCCATCAATCTATTAGAGCAGATTCAGATTGCCTACAATCAGGATATTTCATTCCATAGGCTCTAAACCTGTACGCTTGATCTGAGCAGAATCGCAGAGTAGCAGAGGTAAGGGTTCCTTTTCCCTACTTTCTGCTTGGATTTCTTCCTAGAAACTCATCAAAGCTGCAGAGTGGTGGTGAAGTCTGATACTTTACATGTAGGGTTGCTTCCTGATACCTCAGGTTTCTGCTTGGATAAACCCTACTTTTTGCACATTTATAGGAGATGTGAAGCTGCACTTGCGATTCAGCACAGTGAGGCTCCTGGAGCGATCAACGACGCGTTTGTGGGTTTCCTTCTCGGGCAGCTGGAGTCGGCCAGACAGGCAGCCGAGAAGGCTAATGATGAGAACAGCCGGTTGCGCATTCAGTTGGAATTGTGCAACGAGGAAATCAAAAGGCTGATGAGCAGCGGGGGCTCTGGTCATCCTGGCCTGGAGCTTCCTAATTCTAGCATTCACACTTCGCATTCGAGCTAGAGAAGATCAGCACTAACCGCGAGGTAAGCTAGCAGTATGTGCCAACCTGCTGCTGCAGCACGATCAATTTCGGACGGCGTTCCGACTCGCCGATCAGGGCAAACCTCTTGTTGTAGAAGGTGCAGCCTTAGAGAGGTTTACGTGGAGCTTTGATAGTTGAGACCACAGAACCGGTGTTTGAATAGTGGGCTGAGTTGAGGTGTGACTTAGTCTGTAACTTAGTTGTACTTGTACTGAGGTTTACGTGGAGGTTTGGTTGTTGCAGATCACGGATGTAAGACTGAACCGGTGCTTATTACCAGTTTCGCCCAAACTGTCGCCTCTTTGACGTAACGCAGGTGACGAATAGGAGCGAGAAATGATAATAATACCAGAGTTGACTGGCTTTCCTCTGGCCGCCAGGGCTGGCCTGGTACCAGAAGAAACTTTTCGTTTTTAGGACATCACTTGCTGTGACTCCCTAGCTATACCGTAGACCTTCGGCCCATAACGAGTACACCTGCGGAACACCTCGCGAACTGAATCACTGAGGTCCCATCGGAGGGACTGAGATGGTGCCTTTTGAATGAAGGTCTCTATCCGTTTTGCGACGGGGTATTCTAGGAGCAAGGGTCCAAGGTCAGCGAAGCCCAGTGATGCAACATGTGTTAGCATACTATCCCTTAAGGAAGAAAGTTAGTCCATACAAACGCGGTCAAACGCACTCAGAATTTCCAAGCGTTACGTTCGAAGTGCGACACTCTGGACGAAAAGGGTAATAAATAGCTGGGCTGAGAGTCAAAGTGTAATTTAGTTTGTAACTTAGTTGTAAGATGCGGGTTGGGTCCGCGCAACTTACAGTGGTTCTGTGTCTGTACAAAGAGGATAGTCTGATAGGATGTATCCATATGCTCGTCAATAGAATCCGCTCATCTACAGATAACCATACAAACTAGTTTAGGATCCCACAAACACTAAGCTGAATGTTTGTGTGTAGATAGTCTGGGTGGGGCTTCCCTTAAAACAGTATCGTTTCGCCGCCACAATGTGCTTCGAACAATGGTCCTATCCACACTGCATGCCTGCTTCTAGGTCCAGTTGTCGAGCTGGTCGATGTTTTCGAAGATGATGAGCTCGATTTAGTCGTCACCGTCGAGCCAGAGCTGGTTCGCAAAGAGCCTCCGCTCTGCGATGTGGGTGGACTCGGACCTCTAAAGTAATCTGGGTGATTACCCCCCCTATCATGCGTGAATGTATACTCTTCGAGTCGGAAGCCGTGCTCTTGCAACGGCTTTAAGTCTTGGTAATCCCTGTTCTCTAATCGACGGTATGCGGGTACATCGTCTACTGGCACTTTTGCAAGTCGCCACATCAACTTCTGCAGATATTTTCGTTCTGCCTCCCGTCTGAAGGTTTCGACATAATGTGGATCTAAAAGTTCGGACCCCCTCCTTTCCCGTCTGACTCCAGTCAACCTCGATGCAACATTTCGTAAATCTCTGAGCTGTTGTTGCCTCGCTGGATCTACGCCGTCCAACATGTTATCCCGGAGTTGAGCCGTCCTGACCGTTCGGCTCTTTTGGTCATCGCGCAACAAGCATGATTCTACGTAGAATTCGTTGTCACCCCAATCTCGCTGCAGATGCTCCTTCTTGTCTGGAACTTTCCTCTTATCCCCTCTGTCGTACACGCGACCATCGCCGTACAGCCGCTTGCAAGCGAAATTTTTCGCATTCCTTCTCGTCAACCACTCCATCTGCTCCCTCGGTTCCTGCGGCATGAGCATGTTCACCGATCTCTCGTCGTGTTTGGCCGGAATTTCCTGACCGCCATACCGAGGATTCCCTCTAAATCTGCGGCCTGTGCCCGCCCACGGCGAATGATCTCCGCAATGTGCTCTATGGAAGCGATGACGTGGCCGATCGCTCGCGAGATCCTTTATCAAGGCGCTCCTGTCTTTGGCGCTCAGGGATAACAGGGGGGGATAGTAACGACTCACCCTTCCGAATTCTTTTTGGCACGTTTGGTCGTGTGCCCTCAGCGTTCGCCTCAGGCGTAGTCTCTCGTCCGGCGAGAGGCCTCTCACGTTGCGCTTGAATGACTCTAGATCGTCCGAGTACTCTATATCTAAGAATTGCTTTTGCTCCCGCCATCTCTCAGAGGCATCAGCGAGTCTAGGATTCCGTGCACGACTTATACGGGTATCGAGTATGGGATACCAGCCGTCATCGCTTTGGAATATCGGTGCCGTCGTGAGCGCACAGTCTATCCATTCTTGCAGAGACATGGTGTAATTTAAGCTCTGATTTTTTTGCTATGCGGAGACTACAGTCTGTTCAGAGTAAAATGGCACACTCGCCACAGTACTCGGCCGTATCTCGGATTCTCACCGAGATGCCTAGATGAACTCGTTGTTCGGACGCTACCTGATGCCACGTGGTTGCTACGTGGTGCCACGTGTTGAAGTCGTTCTCGGACGCTAGTGTGCCATTTTATTCTGAATAAACTGTAAAGGATGTCCAGCCCTATCCCCTATCTCTAGCCCGATCGAGAGGTTGTACAAACTGTACGAAGCGGCAGAGTACCTCTATAATAAAGGCATAGGTCACGATCGGAGAGGCGATGAAGCTACGGCGCAAACATACTACGAACACGTATCAACTCTCGTAGACGAAGGATTGTTGCACGCCTCTGCATTGACAGCAATTCAGATGAGTCAAGTGCACTCGAAGATCGAAGATATGAAAAGGTGGAAGGTATATCTGAAGAAGATATTGAGACGTTCCGATCCGACTCCGAAGGGCAACCTCGTACGCTTCGAAGAGCAGATCATAGGAGAGATCATGCAAGCAAGAGATGATACCACGTTCAAGGATATCGGAGGTATGAAGCAAGTCAAGATCGCTCTCACCGAGATGGTCATATTGCCATCCGTTCGGAGCGACATCTACACCGGGCTCAGGACTCCCCCGAGAGGCCTTCTCCTGTTTGGTCCCCCCGGTAACGGAAAGACGTACATCGCACGCGCCGTCGCGAACGAAGTCAAGGCGACCTTCTTCTCCATAAGTGCGACCTCGTTCGCGTCCTCTCTAGTAGGCGATGCGGAGAATCTCCTTCGAGCTCTGTTTACGGTGGCTCGGAAGAAACAACCTTCTCTCATATTGATAGACGAGATAGACAGCATCCTCACGAAGAGGTGCGAGAACGACCAGGAGTATACCCGCAAGCTGAAGACCGAGTTCTTCGTTCAATTCGACGGGGTGGCGACCGACAAGAGCGACAGGGTCACGGTCATCGCGGCTACGAACCTGCCGCAGGAGCTGGACGACGCAGCCGTGCGACGATTCGAAAAGAGGATCTACGTCGGCTTGCCGGATCTCTCGACGAGAAGGCAATTACTGGAAAAGCATCTGCAGCCAAACATTCCGAATCCTAGATCACGTAAACTACCGAACGAGCTGAATTCCAATCAAGTGCATGACATCGCCGCCCTTACGAAATGCTACTCCGCGTCCGATCTGAATTCACTGTGCAAAGAGGCAGCTATGATCCCTCTGAGAAATCAGAGAGAACATATCCTCGATATCCCCGTAGAGAAGATAGAAGCAGTGACCTTCAAAGACTTCAGAGAGGCAGCAAAGGTCATCAAACCCAGCGTCAAGAGAGAGAGCCTGGCGGCTCTCGAGAAGTGGAACGCCGACTTTGGATCCTTTCCCAACAAGGAGCTGGACTGAAACCTACTTTCATTGGAACATACTGAGAATCACAAAAATTTCTCACGTAAAATTACATACTCATAATGGATGCTCGTAAGGCAGAGAAGAATAGGGCCGAACTCTTGATTGCAAAGGAAATCGCCAGGAAGCAAGAAGCCGCCAGGCAACGGGAAAGGAACGAGGCTGCCCGTCGGATGACGGAGAGGCTCCATCAGGCTGCAGAAGCAAGACGCAGGCGGGCCGCGGAAGAGGCACGTGCCCAGGCAGAAGCTGAGAGAAGACGAGCCGAGGAGGAGTATGCAGAGAGCGTTAGACAGCGGGCCGAGGAGTTTGCACGTGCCTATGCAGAAAATGCTGAGCGACGACGACGGGCGGAGGAGGCCGCGCGTGCCCAGGCAGAAGCCGACCGACCGGTCCTCACCGCTTAGGATCGTCAATGGAAGGCGGAGTTTGACGAGTTGGTCAAAGAAGCTGTGCTAAAGGGCATCCGAAGGGGCTGGCATACTGCTAATGCAGAGATAGGACGTACGGGAGTGTCTCCTATTATCCCACTCACTCGGTCGATCCTGAAGAAGCTGCTTCTTGTCTACCATCCAGACAAATCCAAGAACCGCATCGCATTGTACCCTCCTGGGATCACGGAAGGTAATGTGCTTAGCATATCAAAGGCATTGACGGCTCGCTTACAAAGACCAAATGCCTGAATTCCATAGACTCACATTTTCATCTCCAATAGTATACGTCCACATGTCATCCAGAGGCCTACGGGAACTCATCGAAGCTCACCCGGACAGGGTGCCTCTCATGATCTCAGGAGACGCGATGGAACACGAGAAGAAGCTGTTGGTCCCAAAGTCTACCACACCCAGCCAGCTTTTGCTCATACTCAGGAATCGACGTATGTTGAGACCCACGGAGAAACGAGAAGCACAGTTTCTGATGGTAGGTGGTATCCTGCCGAGCTCGCATCAGACGCTTGGAGAACTGCGAGCGGCAACTTGTGCTCCAGATGAGCCCCTCAAGGCGACCGTATGCAGGGAGAGCACGTTCGGCGGGCCGTGATCATGCTGGGGTGAACATGAGGATCTTCGGTTTGCAATCATCGTTCCTGGTCACGAGCATCTTGAACGCCTTCTGACCGTATTGATCCACTCCGTATTCCACGCCGATCGGCTTCTGCTTCGCCGCGTCCAAGAAGGTGTATGTTATGATCTTACCAAAGTTCTTTGGCGTACTCCAGCCAGCACCCACCAGCACCTTCTCCGCGAGACCGTCCGGCAGATCCCATTGCTGGAGCTTACCCACCGAGATCGTCGTATCTGGTAAGCTTGTCATATAGCGTTTCCGTATGTAGTCATCGATCGCACTCCTGGCGGGCTCATTGAAACCCGGCTCCACAGACCAAGTGTCGCAGCGTGGAAGTACGGGTTGTGAAGCAGAAGCTTGGCTGGTTGTAA